TTACCTGTGAATTTAAGGCTGGGGAGTGATTTTTAGTCAGGTGGAATTTTAATGTTATCAGATCACAGAGAGTCAAACATTATAAATGTTTTAATAACTAAAGAAACAAAGCCATAGAACGTACAGGCTCTCTGTCATCTGGGAAGGGTATGTGTGGATAGAATCATGTATAGAATCAAGAGTCATGTATTTAGTACACCATCTCCAAGCTCCTTTTTTTTTTTAATAATAAAAAAGCATTAACAGCAGCTTGTTTCATATGCCACTGTGGCACATGAAATAAGCTTCTATTATTCAATTTCTGCCCATCATAGGAACATAGGGCTGATCCAGAGATGCATCAGGAGGATGTATTACGACTGATACAGTTGAGTATCCCTTTCCCTTACCCAAATAAACTCATGTGCTAAGTTGGGATGGGAAATAAATTTGGTTCAGATGCCAATATAATGTGAACCAACCTAATTTTGATATCTCAAAACAATACATGAACAAAAAACCCCTGCAAAAACAAATTCAGAACAGCTATCCTTTAAAATGTGCACTGCATATTAAGGGAAGCATGTATTAGAGAAAATAATATACCGAAAATCATTAATAATTTGTCAGTGTGCATGAAGCAGAGGACCACTAAGCATTCATTTCTTGGTGCAGGTTCTCTTTCCCACCAAATACAAATTTACATAGACAGAAGGCTTATGACTGGTGGGGTGGGGTGGGGTGAGCTTCTCCTCAGGAATCCTGTCCTAAAAGACTTTCCAAAAAAGAAAGGTTCTCTAGATCTTTGCACATGTGTCTGCTGATGAATGCTGATGGCCATAGCTGTCACCTCCCTCAGAAATGGAACATGGAGTTGAGCTTTGCTTAATGCAGCAATGGATAACCTGCCGCCATTTAAATGTTGTTGGATTACAACTTCCTTTTTTTAAAAACCCTTATCACACTTTTTAGGGATGATGGAAGTTGGAATCTAACAATATCTGGACAGCTGTCTGTTCTCTATCCCTGGCTTAACAGATGAGAGGAAACGAATGTGAATAAAGGCCTTAGAGGTTAAAAGAGTACCTTAACTTCACTCACTCACACTTTTTTTGCAACTTCTTAAGTGTTTCTCATATCAGATGGAAACTCACTGATGAAGTGCAACTGTGTGGAAAATGTGGTTTCCTCATTTGAAAATTGCTGGGGGCAAAGCCATTCCTGGATTTATGTAGTTTTGCTCCAAAACCAAAATACCTGTCTCCTTTAGTTAGACACCATATAACTCACTGAACACAAACATCTTGTAATATTTTAAAGTCATACTTTGGAGATTCTGAGCTTTGTCAAGTCTTTAAAAAGTGGCAATAATTCTTATTCCTCTTTAAAAAGAGGATCTCTCTCTCTTATGCCTGGTTTCCAACAACAGCCGACGTTACCATTTGTTCCTTTGTGTGACATGCATAAATTATGTCAGTTTTCAATGTCTAAAATTTTAACTTCAAACTAAGATGGCATATATTGAAATTCTGTTGTTTTAATCAATCCTGCATGGCAGTACTGCACTAGCAATATGTTTCAAACTGAAATAGAGAAAGGTCGAGTGAATAATGAAATTAAATTAATCCATTAAAACAAATACTGGGCAGACATTTGTTTTATGACAACATGGAGCTCAGATTTATGCACTAGGATTGTCACAAGCCCCACTGAACTCACATGAATCATTCCAGGTTTGTAGATACTACCTTGCTACAAAACTTGGAAGGTAGTGCTCATGGAACTCTCTTGCAACACCTTTCAGTTCACTTCAATCCCATAGGAACTCAGTGTGGGCCATAAGTATGAACATACTTTTATCTGAATTATTATTATTTATTACATGTCGGGTCCTCCATCATGGAGGGCACGTGTTGCGGTGAGATCACCAGAAACTGCCTCCCTGTTGTGGGGCAGGACCATTTGAATGGCTACAATGCCCCATTGGTTGCCCTTCTGTTGCTGGGGCAGAAATTTGGTCAGTTGGGTTGACTACTGGCTGCTGAGGGGCTACTTAAGCTGCTGCACATCACTGGAGAGTTTCACTTTTTTGCGACGTGCAGCAGATCACCCGCCCTCCTCTCCCTATATTTAGGGTTGTTCTTATGGCCTTGCAATGCCTGTCTAGTTGTCATCTGTTTTGGAGCAGGGGACTGGTAGGGATTTTGTCATTTGGCTGATTGGCTGGTGCCACTTGGTTTTTGCCTACCGTGTAGAAATTGTCACAACTTTGTAAGGTTTGGCAGTTAGGCATTTGGTTCAATGTTTTGGGGAGGGGACGTGGTTGGCTGTGCCTGCCCCTCCATTACTGCTGCTAGGGAATTCCGTTAAAGGAATCCAGGGGCTTGCCTTGCTTTTGTCCAAACCCTGTCAAAGGACTAGGACCACGCCAGAGCCCCTGGGAGTATCTGAGGTGAGCTGTGAGATTGAAGGAGTTCTCGCTCCCCCAGGATGCTTTCCCTTACTGACATATGGTGGTGCCCAGTGTCAGTCTTCTTCCTGCCACCATGCAGGTTCAGGTAGTCTGGAACCAATGCCACTCACATGCTGTAATCAATAAAGTTGTGGCCAAAATGTAATGCCAAGAACCTTAAACTAAAATCTGTGTCTATTATGTCTTCATTTGGGGGTGGTTTTGGGGGTCTTCACACACAATTGTTAGTTGCTTATACAAAAAAGGTCTCAAAGTGACTTAACAAGATAAGTTGCTTTCATGCAGATGAAATAGTAGGATGAAAGATTATTTGCTTCATTTCTTATGTACTGGTTACACAGCATTTAAAGGATAGGAGGTGAAAGCTGAAAATTCTGTGCAAAGACATTCTTGTTATTGAAGTTAGAATTTGTATAGGGCTGTAAAAGCTTTCCCTCCCCACCTCCAAAGAAAGAAGCCAAAATTATTGGGGGGGCTGAAGGAACTCCACTGTTAGGAAAGGTTTGGGACATTTTAGTTCAGAAAGATCTGAACTTGATAGACATTTCAAAAATGTTCCATGGTATGATGAAATTGGAGAGCTTTTCTCCCTCTCTTATAACACTAGAATCTGGAGTCCCCCAATTCATCTGAATGGTTAGAAATTCAAGAGAGACAAAAGTATATGTATATAGTGCACACAATGCATAGTCAATCTTAAAGATTCACTATCATGAGAAGGGATGGCCACCATCTTATAGAACCCTATATGGGGATTAGAGAAATGTATGAAGGATTTGGCTGCCAAGAGGTACTAGTCATGATGGCTATATGAAACCTATCAGATCCTGAATTCCAGTCACTGGGAAACAAAAGGAGAAGAGGGCTATGACTTGTAGGCTTCCCATTGGCCTGCCACTATGAGATACAGGATACTGAATTAGATAAACTTGACCCCACCCACCCCACCCGGGCTTTTCAATATGTTCATAAAGGGAAGTGTCATTTGTGGACAAATCCCATGTACGTACAAAGTTACAGGACAGAATAAAGATGAAAGACTAGTTTCCAATGAATTGTGTAGATTCACATAAAATTAGCAGGTAATAGAGTACATACTGTGGATGCAAAGATCCCAGGTTTCCTCCTTGGCACCTCCAGTTGGGGGTAGGAAGACCCTACCCCCATCTGAAACCCTTGAAATAGATTGCTCTCCGCTTCTTCCCTTTGGCAAATGACTGTACTGTTGAAATGGCGACAAGATCGCACTGGCTTATTTATTTTGAATGTTTGTATGTGATGCCAATAAAGGTTTGATGATGATGACCTGAAACCCTGGGGATCCAGTATGAATCAGTGTAAACAATACTGAGCTTGATGCACCAATGATCAGACTCAGCATACAGTACCACCCTATGCCCACTGGAATTGCTCTGCTTTTCTTCTTTGAATAGCTGGCCCTGATGCCATATTGCAAACTACTTTAGATGTTCCTCTCAATTTCAACAGCAGTTATGGCATGGTGGGGGAGGACTGCTGTTGACGGGAAAATAAGTCTGAAGCCCCTTTTGAGCTCACAGAAGTAGTTTCATGGTTCATTGGATTCTGGCCAAAGTAAACAACCTGAGATGAATTCCCCCACTCCACCCCCAAAACCGGTCCAGCTGCAATTTGGTTCAAATCGAGCTGTGCTCCATTCTGACAATGAAATCAATAAGGGATTGCTGGCATACAGCTTCGCGAATGAGGTCCTGCACTAACCGCAATGAGCAGTGCTGACCTGGAGCAGTGCTCAGAACAGCACTATTTGAGAGTCTTTCATGTGCTTTTTTAGCAGTTTCCTATGGCTGGTGATTGATGTGCCTACAGCCACTTGCAGCCAAAATATTTCATAAATATTGCTTCATTCCCTCCCACATGTATTAATTTAGGTCAAAAGGTCACATCTGGTGTGCCACTGTTCTATTCTTCTTTGGTGGGATGGGAGTATAGGTTCTGCCCTGGAGAAGTTTTCTATGCATTCTTTTGTAGCCTTCACAAAACTGTTGGGTAATTTCACCTCCTCCCTCTGGAAAATATTCCACGAATCACATTTACTGCCCACAAACAGAACTTACTTTGGGAAAGGGGGGATTTCCATACAGCCTTTCTATTCTTTTGACCAGGGAGAGAGGAAGAACACTCCAAACATCTAAGCATCGGGGGCGGGGGAAGAAGTCTCACCCTAAATAGAACAATATATCTTCAATCCTAGCTTTTGTTAGCCTTATAATGGAAAGAGGGCATTTGATTGGTTTTTGCTTCCATATTCTGTGGCAAGTAAGAATCAAGTAACGTGCAAGGGCTTGTAGTGTTTAATTTGGCTCCTGATACAAGAAATAAGAAAATGTGAAAACAAGGGACAGAAGGAGGTGAAAAAGAACAATTATCGGTAATAGAAGAGGAAGACGCATCCATCTCCTATGCCACAGCTTTTTAGATTTCTTTCAGTCTCAATACTGAAAGCAGGGGTCTTTATTGTAGGCAGAGCACTGCAAAGGGCGGCGAGGGGGGGAATCCACCATGGACACTATTTTTGGCTCAGCTTTGATTCTGCAAATTAGAAAGAAGAAAGGAAAGACCAACTTACTTTCTGAATAAAGCAGCAGCTTCGTTGTTTCCAAAACATCATTCTGAACATAATAATGTTTGCTGTACAACAAAGAATGACAAATTATAGTATGGACTGATAGATTCATTGGCAAAAGCTTTTGTGGCTTAGTGTTCACTTCATGATAAGATGCATGAAATTACACACACTAACCTGTCTCATTTGTTGTCCTTTTTTGGGGGGGGGGGAGGGCAGGTGACTTTTCCTATCCATGCATAAATGGACCAGCAAATACTATGTATCACTCCTCATGTTTTGTACATGTGGTCTGCTTATAATGCATTGTGCTCCTGGTGGTAAATCCATAAGGAAAATGGCTCCGTAACAGAAGGGTTGGTGAGAACATGGCAATATAGAAAGAAGGTATGAAAACTGGGAGACAGATGCAGGCAAAAGACGTAGAGCAGAGCAAGATGGTGGAGCTAATTTCTCACACTCTCCCCCCCCCATCCTTCCAAGTATAAAAGGATGAGTACAGTGTCCCTATTTTTTAAGGACAATTCTGGATTTACAAAAGCCGTTCCAACTTCTGATTTGGTCCTGGAATGTCCTGCTTTTCCTTAGGACATCCTTTTCTTCATTGGAGAAATGTTGGAGAGTATGGAGTTATGTGATGCCCGAGCCAAGGAAATAAGTAACTATACAACCTTTAGAATCTGAGGGCAGCCCTGTTCAGGGAAGGTTTTTTTAAAATATTTAGTGTTTTATTATGTTTTTATATATGTTGGAAGATGCTCAGAGTGGCTGGGGTGACCCAGTCAGATGGGTGGGGTAGAAATTGTATTAGAATTATGGAATAGGGCATCTGTATTTTCATCGAAAAATGTTGGAGGGTATGTAAACAAGAAGGTGGTTTGTACATGTATATGTACAAAAGAGAGAGGTTTTCCTAAACTTTGCTGATTCGCAAGCTAGGTGGTAAGTGAGTGGGTAGGTGTGTGGGGAGGCCTCTGTGCATTGGAATTTACCAGTAAAATTGCAGGCCTCTAGGAAGGCCTTTAAGATCCTGGAGAATTACCAAGCAATTTGGGCTCAGGTTAATAGAAATCTCTGTTTGTGGGATAAGCTTTTAGAGGCAGAAAATAGTCCTGCTGCCTCAAAAGGATAGTTAATAGGCTTTTTCATAGTGCCTCCAATGAACTTTTTTTTTTTATCTGGATAGTTTGAAAGGCTTGTTATGGTGATGGCTTTGTCTTGAGTACTGGTCAAATGCATGCTTCTTAAAATGGGGCAGCAGGGAACAAATATATGAATTAGAATCTAAATGACAGATGTAATATAACAAAACACAGACTTCAAAAAAGCAAGTAAAAAACCTAAAAGCAACAAAAGCCTCACTTAGGCATATTAAAAGTCCTTTAGTGGTTTAAAAAGCTCTTTGCAGGGTAAAGCCATTAAGTTTGGCTGCAGGAGAGACTCGCTGTTGAGAATGTTTTCTAAATGTAGTGCCACTCCTAAAAAGGCCCTTCTCTGTGCCTACCTGGTCTCCTGTGCACCCAGAGAAGGTCCTCAAAGGATGGTTTCAGATAACCGACAAATTCAAGTGGGAGAAGATAGTCTGGGTCCCAAGACAATCTAGGTATGTGACATAAAAGAAAACCAGAGATATTAAATTCACTTTTGGAAACAACCATAACCTGCCTGTCCGAAACTACTTCCAACTCTAGTTGTGCTCATCATCAGATCTACCTCACACAGAAACTTATTGGAACGTGAGATTGCAGAGTGACACCGTTCTTTTCCTCATTTTCTTGCTTGGCAAGCACCACATCATCATCATCTTCATCATCCATTGGCAGCTTTGTACTACTCACACAAGGCTAGGCACCCAATTGCCACTGACTGCACTTACCCATCACATGGTAGAATGCACTATATCACATACAGTTCTGACTTGTTCCCCCAACCACCAGAAGCAGTTTTTCACAAAAGCCCAAGCTGGAGTAGGGATGGGCAAAAATCAGGGGTCCCACCTTGAGTGAGCATAAGTTTTCTGCAAGTGCAAAATACCATGAATACCATACATTATTATTCTGATCTCCAGAAAGGAAGTGTGTTACATTTTTAAAAAAACAACAACACCCTATTCCTCCAGTATTCTTCCAGGTGACAGTCTGCAATGCAGTGCACTCACCTTTCATTCTGCCTGGAAATCCTTTCTTATATTGTAGTGTTGTTTTCCTTTTTGTTGTCTTGCAACCTGGGACCATATGATGAAGGATGGGTTTGACATCCTCTTATAAACACACACACACACAAAATCAAGTATGTAAATTTCAGTGGCAGTTAACAATAACTGAGTGATGAAGTGCCATAAAGTCTACACTGGTGCAGTATATAAACATAGGGTTTTTGTATTTTCAGGTGGGGTTCTCATTCCGCTCTGGCTATGATGCCTGCTTCAGGTGCTCTGCTTAACGTTTATTTCTGCCGCTGTTCTGCTGATTGACCAAATCGAAAGATAAATGAAGTGTTAGAGGGACAGGAACAGCTGAGCCACCAGCTTCATTGCAGAGCCCTGGGACTGTCGTCAGCTTTTGATAAGACTGCCACAGCTTGTGACTGCATCTCATAACTGTTTCATAGTTATCACACACAATCAAAGGCAGAATGAAGGGATTCTGGGAAGGCTAGATAATGACCTTGGCAAGTGGCTAGGAACAGAACTGAGAAATTATTTACAGCACTTGCCTTGAAGGGATAATTTGGCAATGGTACTACAAAGCAGGTTTGAGAGGGCAGCACTGAAATTAGCAAAAGACTTTTAAATATTAAAATCCTTTAAAAATAACTGCAGGTAGAAGACAAGGAGAAAAACCTCTGGGACCTATTTTCCACTTCACTGGTGGACGGCTCGCAATCTGAAATTCTGGGTTTAATAACAAAAGACATCTTATTAAATTACACTGGGGAAAAGTCTGCTGCTTCGTGCAGGTGTCAGATTGGCACAGGTCCTAACACCTACTGTAGCTGCACATGTTATTCTGGCACGCCAGCCAATACTTTGGGACAAATGACATGCAAGCATTATCTCCCTGAAACCTGCTGAGCTTTTAAAAAGTTAAATATAATATTGGTGAGAAGAGTCTGAAAATGGGAAGTTAAAAAGTCCCCGTTTACCCATATTTAAGTATGGGGTAAGACAAGTTTTGAAAACCAGAATACTGGATGATAAAGTACAACAGTCTTGACCTTTCCAAGGTTGTAAGTGAGAAAAGACAAGAGTATTCACTGTCACTAGGAATAGAGGGATCTGTCAGTTTGGGATCTCTCTTTCCCCTTTTCCCCACAACCTTAAATTCAATTCTCCACTTTTCTACAACAATTAGCTTTTTAAAATAAATAAAATAAAATAAAAGGTCCTCATGAAAATTCATCAGCATTTTTGTGCAAATCTGTCCCACTAAACCTAATTTTTGTATGCAGTTTTTACTAATGTACATATTTTTGCAAGTAACCCCCCATACAATGCATTTCTGTATGCTACCTTCAGTATATACAATATATGCATTTTTGCATATATTCCCCTAATAAATGCATTTTAGCAAACTTTTTAGTGGGAGAACAGCATTACTAAATTCAGCTAAATGCAAATTCCGAAGAATATTTGCATTTTGACTCACATATTGTTGTGGAAGTGTGAATTTGGTAGATTCATCTTTAATGTGAAGTGAAGTGAATTTCTCCACTGTCATCAAAATTTAGGGAATCTAAGAAAATCATGATGTCACAGTCCTTCCAGGATCCCACACCTCAGTTTCCATTCCTGACAAGCTGGAAGTTTCTCTGCCGTATATCCTAAATCAGGCAAGCCTTCTTAAATTTGGCAATGCCCTTTCACCTGTTTCACAGCCACCTTCCCTATACACACACAGACAAATCTTGACAAGGCTCTTCAGCTGTGTTTCTGATGTTCTGCACTGTGTGCCCTATCAGGAAATGATTTTGTTGTTTTGTCGTGAGTGACCTAGAAGTAAAGGCATCAAGCTGAAAATCCGGAGGCACAGAGCAATGGTTGATTTCTGTTTGAATCCAAGGCTACAGCTATGGCAGAAACAAGACCCTTTGGGGGAGTTATGATGTGAACCCTTCCATTGTAGGCTCAGGTTGTATATATGTGTAAATAAACCATATACCCTAAAGGTACCACAGTCCTCACTGTGCTTCATTTCCAAAAGGAAGCACAAACCTTGGATAAGTGCCTGGAACTGCTCAGAGATTGGGGTGGCATTCAACAATACACAATAGCTCTCCTACTTTTCAGTTCAGTAGGTGATGGTAAGCTACTGTAAGTTGGACTCTTTTAGAGTAGATTTAATCCTATTGGTAAAACTTAAGAAACCAGACAACCCATCTATGTGGGTTTGCCTAGCAATACTTGTCCTTAAGTTCCAGGATAAGGAGTCACAGGTAAATACTCTTCAAGGAGAAAATGCCTAGTGGCTGATTCAAAATAAAGTTATACATGATAAAGAGAACTGTTAGTTTCTCCTGTGCTTAATTTTTGTTTTTACTGCAACAGTTCCTTATGCTGACAAAGCAGCCCGCTGTTCTTTTTCAAGCCTTCTTTATTGTTTCATTATTATTTTTTATTTTTTAAAAAAGTTTTTATACAAGAGGTAAAAAAAAATCAAAAACATCCAGGAAGGAAACAAAACGAAGTCATCTTAACTGCTGAGATTAAAACAACGGACAAAGCTCTAGGTACCTGTTTTGTTCTCCTCTTCAGACACATCATCTTTTTGTTATTTTACCTTGAGTACGTAACAGGTTAGGAAGCTGCCTTGCTACACATTATATAAGGAAAATCACACGCAGACATTTTAGTCAAATTAATGCTTATTGGGTGCTAGGAAGCTGCAACAGATTTTCAAAAACAAGCAGATGTTCAGAACATCCAACAGATATGTTAGACGCAGTGGAGGATGGCCCTTTGGCCGAGTGGCACATTGCCCCATCAACCCTACTCTGTCTTCAGCCAGACTCCACTGTCTTCCCTCTTACAGTGGTACCTTGGTTTAAAAACAGCTTAGTTTATGAACAACTTGGATTAAGAACGCTGCAAACGCGGAAGTAGGTGCTTTGGTTTGTGAACTTTGCCTTGGAAGCAGAACATGCTCTGCTTCCTGTCGAGTGTGTTCCATTTGTAAATTGAGTCCCCCACTGCTGTGGGAAAGCACGCCTTGGTTTAAGAACATTTTGGTATAAGGACAGACTTCCGGAACGGATTTAGTTCATAAACCAAGGTACCACTGCACTTGCAGCCAGTCCAGGGGATCACACTGTGTGCCAGCTTTCTTCTCCTTAGTCTCTCCTGCCCTTGTGGAACTAATCAGGGAGGATACAAAACTAGAAATAGGTGTCATTGGCTTTGGCTCTACCTGCCTCCCTGCTTCCTGCCCTACGAGTCCCAATGGTTGAACACTGCACAGAGTCCTCAACCAGGGTTTTCCCCTCCCCAATGTGAAAATATGGAGGACACTGATCTTTGCAGAGTAGACTGAACAGTCTAGTTCCCTGCCAGTTGTGCACGTGTATTTGTGTTGAAAGTTGCATGTTTGTTTGTGTGCATTCACACACAAACACACACACATACCCCTCCCCACATTTCCAGTTGTGTGCTGCAGCGCACAGTCAATTCCTTGTGTAATTCACTGCCACAGGATGTAATGGTGAGAGTGGTTTAAGGGCTGGACTAGGACTAGAAAGACCCAGGTTCAAATTCCCACTCGGTCATAAAGTGCACTGGGTGACCTCGGGACAAACACTCTCTTGCAGCCTAACCTATTTAAGCAGAGACATCACCTTGCTGACAAAGGTCCGTATAGTTAAAGCTATGGTTATCCCAGTAGTGATGTATGGAAGTGAGAGCTGGACCATAAAGAAGGCTGATCGCTGAAGAATTGATGCTTTTGAATTATGGTGTTGGAGGAGACTCTTGAGAGTCCCATGGACTGCAAGAAGATCAAACCTATCCATTCTTAAGGAAATCAGCCCTGAGTGCTCACTGGAAGGACAGATCGTGAAGCTGAAGCTCCAATACTTTGGCCACCTCATGAGAAGGGAAGACTCCCTGGAAAAGACCCTGATGTTGGGAAAGATGGAGGGCACAAGGAGAAGGGGACGACAGAGGACGAGATGGTTGGACAGTGTTCTCGAAGCTACCAGCATGAATTTGACCAAACTGTGGGAGGCAGTGGGAATGCCTGGCGTGCTCTGGTCCATGGGGTCACAAAGAGTCGGACACAACTAAACGACTAAACAACACTGTAAGGACAGAGCCATGTATGCTGCCTTGATATTTTTGAAGGAAAGACAGGATATAATAATAAATGAAAGTAATAAATGAAAAAGGTATTTGGACAAATGCGTGCAGGAGCAGATCTATCATAGTAGTAGCCAAGATAGCTAAAAAGAACCTTTGTGTGGAGTCAGTATGTACTGGGGATAAGTAACATGGGATGGCATGCCAGTCATTGTTAATTGACTTTTGGTGAACTTCTAGAGCATGGGAGGGGATCTGTAGTACTCCAAATAATGTCAGACTCCAACTCACACGCACTGCAGTCAGGTGTTGGTCCAAGAAGCAACTAGAAGGTGACAGTTCTCCACCCCTGTTGTTGAGAAAACAGGCTGGCTACCATTGGATAGCATGTTGGAACAGATAGACCTGGGTCTGCCTGAGCAAAGCCATTAATATGTTCATACAGCACTGAATTAGGAACTGAGAGACTGCCATGATAAAATGTCCCCTCGGATGATATTAATCTGCATTCAAGACAGACAGATAACTGCACATCATCTCTCTTGAAAGGCTTGACAAGAGATTGCAAGGCATCATGGCAAACAAGAGATCAGTGTGAAGGACAGCAATGTGATATGCGCACAGATAGTTTTGGTGGGGAGACCTGCTGTCTGCTCCAGCCACTCTGGACTCTGTCCAAGTGCATATCTACAGCAAGTGACTTTGTAGCTCAAGCTGTAAAAGTGGCTGCCTGACCTCAGAGGTCAGCAGCTCAATGCCTAGTCTTGCAGCCTGTCGGAAGGTATTATCTGTAATGGAAGCTTCTCTGGGATTGGCACTGTGTCAGTTTAGCTCTTAAAGCTGAAGCTATGGATATTTTGATTCTCTCTCTCCCCCCCCCTTTCTCTTTCTCTGAGATGCTTCTTCATATGTTAAAATTTCCTAATCAGCTTTCAGTATAGGAAAAAGCTTAGACAACACTGCAACCTTTGAAGCGGGGCGTAAGTGTTGTTGTTTTCATCGCAAGGAGACAAGCAGATCGGGCAGCCAATATGTGTTGTCATCAAGTCTTTCTGCAGCAGGCTAGTAGTATCTGATTAGGCAAACATGTCAACAGCCTGTGCAAGGGAGGATCAATATAGGAAAGGTGAAGGCAGCTGGAGGTATCCCTTCCAGCCTGCAAAAACTTGTCTACATGAAGGGAGCCGGGGAACTGTGGAGATGGATTTAAAGAAGAATTTAAAGAAACAATGCAGCCAGAGGTGCCCTGAAATCAACAGCTATAGTTGGTAAAGTGTTATTTATGCCACAGAAGGATACCGCACTATGTGGGACTTTGCCAGAAATTAAAATGGGGTCATTTATGTAGGGAGGGTTGATGGTGGAATCTGCACCATACCAAGTCATAAAACTGGTCCATCAAGTCCAGTAGTGTCTGAACTGACTGGCAGAGGTTCGCCAGAGTTTTTAGGCAGTAATTTTCCCCAGCCCCACCTGGGGATGTCAGGTGTTGAACCGGGGACTTTTTGAATGCAAATCATATGCTTAACCACTGAGCTATGGACCTTCCCTCAACCCTATATTATAACTGATGTGTGTAGAATAGTCCTGATATTTTTGTATGGCTGGAGAAATGTTTGCAGCAGTTCTCATTCATATCTACAGGAGTTCCTCCTTAAAACTGAAAGAGGAATAAGGGGTGAAAGATGGACTGTTAATAGCTTCTTGTTTGGTCGGAGCTCTTCCCTTAATGTACATGCAAGAAAGGTTCTGAAAGCACCATCTTGGCAGCGTTAAAAGCATCTTAAACTTCATATTTCACTCCCTAAAGGCAAAGACTAGAGTCAGATGGAAGGTGATTCATATATCAATATGTCTCCTAGACTGCATTGTGGAATCTTCAATTTCTCGCTACAGGTGGCCTCACAAGCTGTGCAAGACTTTAATAAGGGGAAGACCACCAGAGGCTATGTATCCATTTTCAGGCCTAACATCTGATTGTCTCCTCATACTCAGGAAACAAGGGCTCAGCTCTGAAATACAGATGGAGAAAATTGTTTAACTCAGAAAGACACTCAAGGAATTCAGGATAAACAAAGTCACAAACTGAAACTGCCCATGTCTCAGAATGTGCAAAAATAATAATAATACTGCACTGTTGCAGTGAAGCAGGCTCCTGATAAAGATAAAGAAGGCCCGAATGGAAAGATAAAGGGCATTTTGTGCAGAGAATGGGCTCAGAAGCATACCATTCAAAAGCAGCACTGCTTGAATAAGCACAATTGTTTGCATTGTTCATGCAATTCATATGCTAGAGCTGAAATTTGTTGCAACTGTTATCACTATGAATAATGTTAACAAACAAAGTGAAAACTATTCCATGGGCAGATCTGTGCAGATGAAAATGGGTGTGAATAGCTCATACACATCATTTCCTCCCTTACGAGTCTGTGAATTGAATCATCCTGAGTCCAGGGGCTGCATTACCCAGACGTATGCATACAAATGCTAAGGCTATTTCATACTAGTTTAGCAAATCAGTGTTTTAAGAAGAAGAACAAAGTCTCCATACAAGTAGTAAGTATAAGTCTCTGTGTACACCTTCAAAAATTACACACACACATAAGAACATGCACACCCAAAGTATCATTTGAATTATATTTTATTAAGTTTCAACTTTTTTAATATATACAGTTTTGTATTTTCTCTTATTTTTATTGACTTCCCACCCCTTTTTCCATGAAGTTTTTTTCCATCCCCTTCTGCTGCACCTGTCTTCTATGTATCAAATCATAACCACAATTCTATAATCTAATAACTTCTGTGGTTTATAGCTCAAATCCTGCTCGTGAATTCACCATACTATAATATTTCTTTAAATAGTCCAAAAAAAGGCATCCATTCTTCCATTTAAAAACCTTCATCATTAGATTTTTAAAAAGTTTGTAAAAAAACCTCTCTGTTGTCAAATGGCCATAATCCTTTGCATTTGGGATACCTAGAAATCTCAAAAGGTCCCAACAGTAACGCAATTCATGTGCAATGTCCTCTGAGACTGGTTGCAACCCTGTAGCCACTTACCTGGGAGTAGGTTCACTGAACTAAATGATTCATAATAGACATGTATGGGATTGTGCTACAACAGGGATAGGGAAACTGTCGTTCTCCAGATGTTTACAAACTTTTTAAAAAATATACCCCATCCTTTCAATGAATCTCAGAAGGCCACTGGACAAAATGTTATTTACTGCAGATAATATAACTGTCTGGTTTGCTACCCTATTCTGCATTCGTTTGAACTTCTGGAACTGACATAACCTACTATCTTATTCTTGTCTTGTTTCCTAGCAGAGAAATTATTCCTCTGGTTACTTGTACAGTCATATTTTTATACATGCTCCAGGTAACTTTGAAACTCGTAGAGTCACACATCCTCAAAAGAGGGTCTTACAGCCCTGCTCCAAAATAAAATAATTGACTCCTAAACACTTTTTCCTCTTGTAGGACAAGTATTTAATCCAAGACATTATCACGTTTGCATATCCAGGTTCAAAGGATACTGTGAGCCAGAGAGGTCAACAGCTGGTTAGCAAGTACAATAAGGAAATAGGATATTTCATATTTTGAATTTTTTGTCCTGCCATACTCTTGTGTCCCTCAGGATGCTTTAAAATATAACCTTATCTAATATTACAATCCTAGCTTTGCCTGGAAGTAAGTCCCATTGATCAAAGTGGAATTTATATCTGAGTAAATTTCTGAATAAGATTGTGCTGCAATTTTATCCTGACAGCAATTTTGTTTGGCAAAATCATATTAAGGTGCACAGCCCGGGTGAAGTATTTTGAATACAACTGTGGTTTTTGCCAGGTTTTGCTTTGTTTCTTAATTTGGTTTCTGACACTGCCTGTGAGTGCAGAGGCAACAGAGACTGTTTTCAATGTAAACCCATGTGAATACCATTTAATTTTCCCAGAATGCTTCAGATGTTGCAGTGTTCCAGAACATTCTAGGCTAGAGACAGGGAACAAGTGACCCTCCAGATGAATGGGGAGCTACAGTCCAAGATCTGACTGGCCACAAATACTCCCCATCCAATTTCCAGTCATGTTTCAGCTGATACCACTAAGAAATGGTGGCCCCCATGTTTAGCTACTTCAAAAAAAGGTTATAGCTGCCATTCCTCCTCCCAGTATGTCATGAAACAATGCACTATCCAAGTCATTCTGAGCAAACAATATGGCAACTGCTAAAGGAGATAAGACCCTGTTCACCCCCAAATGAGTGGCAAATGCTTACAAATGAGATAATAAAAATGATCTCATCCATATCGATTCATTACTCTTAGTGTTAAGTTTCCTGAAGAGTAACACTGAGTACCATAGCCCCCATACAGTTGAAAAATTCATCCATTATGAAATGGACGCATGTTCTTAATTCCCATTACAGTGACAAAGCAGAGACAAATCAGCTTCCCAAAATAGTTGTTCCCATTTCTTCCCATTTCTACTAAAAATTGGAACCATAAAGTTGGTTTGCTCTGAGTTATGCCACTTTCCCATCTAGCTAGTTTTGTCTGTACCTACCGGCAGTAGCTTTCCAGGGCATCGGGATCTCTTTCCCAGTCCTAGTTGGAAATGCTGTGGATTGAACCTGAAACTTTCTCCACACAAAATATATGCTTTACCTCTGATCTACAGCCCTTCTCTAAGTTAATTCACACCCATGAAGGCTGCAATCTTGTGAACACTTACCATAAAGTAAGTCTCTCTCAGAATATGGAAGATTATTTCCAAATATATATTTTAAAAACTAGGCTATACAGTTGTTTTGCTGATGAATCAGCTCATTAACTAGCACAAACCTACACACACACACACACACACACACACACACACGTATTTATAACTGCTGAGCTTATCTGTGTTAAAACATGCAAAGGAGTAGGCTGTATCATTACAGGTCCTAAAAATATTAGAATCAGAGTTGTGAATGAGAACCTCATAAATGCAAAGAATCTGGTTTTTGTTACCAATTTCTAGCTTTAAAGCATTCCTTGACAGTGCATTAAAAAAATCCCTATGAAATCTGAAGTGTGCTGTATTACCGCCTGCATCTGTAACTACGGTGCCATTTCTAAACATAGTAACTTGTTTTCCAAAGGCTTCTAGACCTTTTCAAATGATTTCTTCCTGCCCTTGTTAATTTCTGCCCCCACTCCGCCCTGCCTCATTTAGTGTGCCTATCTATAACTGCGGCTATACCTGTATTGTTCTTCCACTCTAAGAAGAACCTCTAATATTCGTTTCTTGCTTGTCACCTTCTTGCAAATTAAAGACGATTTAATCTTTATCCTCCTGGTATGGCACTTTTACCTCATCTAGCTACCTCTCAGAGGCTTTTGAAGCTGAATTATAAAACCTCTTTTCCCTGTTGAGTTTATCTGGGGCTTCAGCTCCTATCACCATCCTATGGGTGGGGTATAAATAAATTATTATTATTAGTAGTAGTAGTAGTAGTAGTACCCCATTTTGGTCTCTTTGCCAATGATAATCATTTGACTGATTCAGCCCCTTTTATAGCCTAGGCGGATTTGGAAAGATTTATTCTTTGTTGTCCCTGTTTCCTTCAAGGAGGGTGCATCAAGAAGCAGCTGGCAGTAATCAGTTCAATTCGCTTGACTTGAAATGTTGTTACTTAATAATTTCACAGCCTGATCTTCAAGCTACCTGGGTAAATCATACCCCACTGAAATGAATGGGCAGATCACTTGGTGCATCAGAGCTGGAATCATTAAAGCATCACATATTTCAAGACCTCAGATTTTTCCTCAGACCTACATGTAGCAAGAGTTTAGCTCCCATTCTCACACACTGAAATGAATGAGGCACAAAAGTGCTCAACTTTGGATGCATCATGCTGCTTAAATAATACAGTTGTACCTTGGATCCTGAATGCCTTGGTACTCGGACGTTTTGGCTCCTGAACGCTGCAAACCCGGAAGTTAGTGCCCCGGTTTGCGAACGTTCTTTGGAACCCAAATGTCGGACGGGGCTTCCACGGCTTCCAATTGGATGCAGGACCTTCCTGCAGACAATCAGAAGCCACGCTTTGGTTTCCGAATGTTTTGGAAGTCGAACGGACTTCCAGAACGAATTCCGTTTGACTTCCGAGGTACGACTGTAATCTCTTTCATTTGAATTTAAATATATCCAGTTATTTACTCATGGCAGGTAGATCATGGTAGTCCATGGACTATTGGCATTGCGTTTTGAAAATTATACAGCAGAGAAGGTTGAAAGAAGAAAACTACCAGGTAAGGCATGACACTATGGTGCAATTATCAAGAATCTATGGAACATATAGCTAAAGCAGGAACAATACATAAGAAGAGCCCTGCCAGATTAGGCCAAAGCGTCATATAGATGATCTAGTCCAGCATGCTCTTCCCACAGCAGACAGCTGGATGCCAGTGGATAGACCACAAACAAGACCTGAGTATGATAGCACTCTCCACCTGTGGTTTAAGCAAGCCATCTTTGTGTTTCTATATAAAAATAATGTAGCAATATTTACCTCTTTGGAACTAACTAAGTTTTGTTGCTTGTCTTTTCTTGCTGCTGTATGGAAAAGCACATAAATCTGACCTTTGAAGAGTTTGTAAGTAAACCATTTTATCTTACCAAACATGTGGTCTCTTTCTATGCTAAGGGAAGTGGGGAACTTTGGAAGCAACTCAGAAGGGGATATTTGAAAGGTCTAACAGTCTGTATTTCCATGCTTTTCTTTGTTGTGTATTTCGTGATTTTAAATCTTTGCTAGGGCTCACTCATGGGGGAAAAAACTGAATCTGAATCTAGGCATCCAGGGAATTCTCCTTTTTATACATCTTTCCTTACAAAACCAAATTAACCAACAAAATTTTGCACCAGATATGTGCACCATTTAAAAATTAATTGCAGGAATCAATTGTTACTATTGTTGTGACTATAGACAAGACAGAATTGTAAGTAATCAACTGACAACATAAACTCAGAGTAGCAAATACCATGGAGTTGCCAGTTAGGAGCTTCTCAATGACAGAATATGTGTGTGTGTGCACATGCTACCCATCAAACTCAGTTCATGCTACAGGTTGAACCTTTTTGTAGCATCTGCAAGATTTCAGGTGATAAATATACACTCTGATTAATGCATGAGATAATCACAGATGACAATGGCATATGTTACATTTAAATATCCAGGAAGATCACTTTGACACATTTTAAAATGCAAATAATATTTTCATTGTTTGCCCGTGTGCAGATAGAAGACCTTCCTCTCTGAAGTTAAGCAGTAGAGATCATGTACACCTCTAAGAAATCTATCAAAGATAATAATAATAATAATAATAATAATAATAATAATAATAATAATAAAAATCACAGATGTGGCTGAGATTAGGGTGGCCACCTGTTCCATTCATTAACCCTAACACTTTATATCAAGAGTTTTAAATACAAGAAGTGAGCCACATCACAGTACTTTGAAACATTGCACTTGCAACTGGGCTATTAGTATTGAAGATACCGCTCACTGTGCCATGTTTGTGGGACCATGCCTTCAGAGACATTTTTTAGTGGAGAGGGGATTTTTCTCCCAATTGGAGAAGATTATTACCTTTAACTACAAGCTGGCTGAGGTTCATTTTTATTTCTATTTTTTACACCAAAAGCCTTGCTACTGCTTCAAGCAGCATTTGACTGTTCTTAGCTTGTGACTAGGTTGCTGAGAGAAGCCAAGCAGATGTTGAAAGTGGTGGCAAGACTTTATATATTCAGTATTCGGTAGAACACTGAAGGCCTTTGTTATAATTTCAAGCAATCTTTTTAACTGAGTTATGATTTTATAGTTCTGTTGCATTTTTAGTCTTATTGTATTTAGAGATGACTGTAACGAAGAAGTATACAAATTGTTGAAGAAAAAAATATAATAGTAAACAAATACTGTCCGTGCAGAGTTAGGCACATGAGGAGCTCTGTTTTAGAGGGGTTAGGTAGACCTAACTCTTCATTGGGTTGGAATGCTCTTGCTATTGAAGATAAGAGGCATATGAAATATATTTGAAATCCAATTTTACAGCTCTGACTTGACATCAGAAGTGGCAAGAAGTGGCTACCCTACCTGCAGCAAGTATCACAGGAAACAGAAGCAGTGTGCTTTGGCAAAGAGCTAGCTCTAATGCCTGATACTAATCAAGTCTGTTCAGTTATGGGCTCACACACTAGTACACAATAATGGAATTACTCAGGCCAATTATCTCTGATTTAGATTCAAGCAAATTATGGGACTCAAAGTATATGGAACGATATAATCTCAATTAGCAGAATACGATAAATGGCTGGAACCAACAGAAACCATTGATGTCTAACAGAAGAGCTCTTGATTAAATGTTATCCGATATGCCCTTGAAGGGCATCCAGTCTTATTCATGACCAAAAGGTACCAGTGGAAAGGAATAGCTTTGATTGTAACTATTTCTTGTTGAAAAGGAAATTATACACAGATGAGAAGTGAGGTTTCGTTTGTTTGTTGTTCTTTTGTTTACTGCTAAAAACACAAATACTTGCATATTTTATGCATATTATAAGCATATTCACTCTAAGTTTCCTGAACTAATCAGCACATTAGCAGATAAATAGAAGAACACATTTAACTACATAAAGATAAAAAAATGTAAAGGTAAAGTCCAGTTGACTCTGGGGTTGCGGTGCTCATCTCGCTTTACTGGCCGAGGGAGCCGACATTTGTCCGCAGACAGTTTTTCCGGGTCATGTGGCCAGCATGACTAAGCCGCTTCTGGTGAAACCGGAGCAGCACACGGAAACGCCATTCACCTTCCCGCCAGAGCGGTACCTTTTTATCTACTTGCACTTTGCTGACCTTCCGATCAGCAACCCCTAGGCTCAGTGGTTTAGACCACAGCACCACCCAAGTCCATCTATATAAAGATACTTACATATTAATGACTTATAAAATGATGTTGCAGAAATAAGAGTACCACATGGGGCTTAACTCTTTTATACATGTTAGATGTATAATACATGTGTTTTTTTATGTATGGTCGCTCAGGGTTTATTTATTTATTTAAAGTGCACAAGCAGTTCAGACATAAGCAGGTGTTTGACACAAGAGGAGGTCTGATGCACGCATAGTCTGATCAGGTCAGAAGCACAAAATGATAGGAACAGAGTCGAGGATAGCCAAACAGGTGGTAATTCTCTTCTTTGATCAACATGCCAAATGATCATATTCAAAGGAGAGCGGAGTTCCTGTTCCTTTCATAGTTGCATAAGGGAAGGAATTTGGGTTGGATAGCTCAGTCGGAGAGCATGAGATTCTTAATCTCAGAGCAATGGGTTCAAGCCCCACATTGGGCAAAAGATTCCTGCATTGCAGGGAGTTGGACTAGATGACCCTCGTAGTCCCATGCTACAGTTTTATTATTTTAGAAGACACTTGCAATGTCAAACAGGAAAAGGGGTGGGGTCAATGACAACACCTCTTCTACAGGTACAGGAATCTTTCATTCCTTTACATCCAGTCACCATGAATCTTCACCTGCCATGAAAGAGAACCAAATAAGATCAATAGCAGTCAGCGTGGTAGTAGTGCTCAGCTGAAACTTCTGTCACCCTTATCACTGCTGCTTACCGAGAGATAGATCAATAGAATAAGACTTGCTGAATTTCTGAGCAGTTGTTACCTGCAAAACCAAGTGGGATAGGGGGACGCATTTCAACGACCCAGTTGTTATCCAGTATCATGTTCTGCTTGTGCTCCTGCAGCTGCATATTTGGACAGTTTCCTGCATCTTGTCAATCCATTCCATGCTATGCTTATGTTTGCTCCAGGGTTCTGCTCCATTTTAGTATCTGACACAGTCCATTCTGTCCCCTTAAACCCTGTGTAATTTTTTTTCAAGGCCTCGTTGATAGCCTACCCAATTCACAGCTTTCTCTCATTGACTAATGAGCCCCACGGAGAGTCAATCACTCAAAGCATACAACCTCTCTTTTGCAGTATAAGCTTTTGTCTGTGTTTCAAACAAAGTTGGGCTTAGACTTGATATCCTTTTTGAGAGCACTTGGAGGACTCCTATTTGTCAGATAACAAACCCCTTGGTGATCAGCTTACTGTCTTATCTTAAAATATTTGCTTTTTTTCCAAAGAAAAGAAAAGGAAATAGCTAGCATGCCCCCTGCTTTTGTAATTAGAATTGCGCTGAACCAGCAACATTGTTGTCTAGTCACAACAGGGCACTCCTTTCATGCTCCCTGTGGCATTCCATGGCAATGGCAAATTGTTTGAACAGATATTGTGATGCATGGCTTTGAGCAGTGTTTTTTTTAAGAAAGAAAAAAGGTGCTCACCATGTAGTTGTTACAGTAAGTGTCACACTTTTAACATTTCGGGGGGGAGGTGCCAGTACTGTGTACCCCTTCTTCTTCTTCTTTGGCGATCACTTGTAGCCAAGTAAGATTGTCTTCCATAAACATGGTTTTAACAATGAGTCCGTAAGTGACTGTGGAGGCCAATTCTGGATCCACACGTACTTCCATAGTGGGGACATTGGTTTCCAGGCAGGAGTGGATCATGGTGTGGATTTGCCAAGCGTGCCTTCCTCTTAGCACGTTTCCCCCTTGTATCCTGAGTTCGAGTGTCTTCAAAGCCCATGAGACTTTGAAGAGCGCTCACAGGCCAGTGTTTCCCAATTGTCAGTGTTTATACTACATTTTTTTAGATTTGCCTTGAGACAGTCTTTAAACCTCTTTTGATGACCATTTTAAAGTTTGGAATAGAGTAGTTACTTTGGAAGACGATCATCAGGCATCCGCACAACATGACCAGTCCAACAAAGTTGATGTTGAAGAATCATTGCTTCAACACTGGTGATCTTTGCTTCTTCCAGTACAGTGGTACCTTGGGTTAAGTGCTTAATTTGTTCCAGAGGTCCGTTCTTAACCTGAAACTGTTCTTAACCTGAAGCACCACTTTAGCTAATGGGGCCTCCTGCTGCCGCCACACCGCCGGAGCACGATTTCTGTTCTCATCCTGAAGCAAAGTTCTTAACCCGAGGTAATATTTCTGGGTTAGCGGAGTCTATAACCTGAAGCATATGTAACCCGAGGTACCACTGTACACTGATATTAGTTCACCTGTCTTCCCAAGTGATGTGTTAAATTTTTCGGAGACACCGTTGATGGAATCTTTCAAGGAGTTGGAGATGGCATTTATAAGTGGCCCATGTTTCACAAGCATATAGTAAGGTTGGTAGTACAATAGCTTTGTAAACAAGCATTTTGGTTTCCCTGCAAATGTCCTGGTCCTCAAACACTCTGCACTTCAATTGGGAGAAAGCCGCACTCACAGAGCTCGGGCGATGCTGGATTTTGGCATCAGTGTTGGCCCTTATGGAAAGATAACTGCCTAGGTAGGAGAAGTGATTGACATTTTCCAACGTTACACCATTGAGTTGGATTTGTGGTGCTGCAGAGGGATTATTTTGTACTTGTTGGTGCAGCACTTTGGTTTTTTGGATGTTGAGTGATAGGCCAAGCTTTTTGTAAGCTTCTGCAAAGATATTTAGGATTATTTGGAGGTCATCCTCTGAGTGTGTGCACCCTACATTGTCATCAGCATACTGAAGTTCTATGATGGAAGTTACAGTAACCTTACTCTTTGCTTTCAGCCTGCTTGGATTGAAGAGCTTTCCATCTGTTTGATATATGATTTCTATTCCGGTGGGGAGTTTCCCTTTGGCAAAGTATAGGATCATGGCAATGAAAATAAAAACAACAACACTGGCTTTGGGGGACTGAATCTGAAAAGGAAGGGGTGAGAGAGAGACCACAATTCCATTTTGCAACTGAGACAATGAGACAATTTCCACCAGTACTGTTGACAGTTTTCTCCCGTAATGAATGCTTATTTCCAAGTCTCTTGTGTTTCAATTATTAATAATTTATTGCCATTGTGAAGAAAGTGCACCATTAAACAGAGGGGAGTACTATATATATATATATATACACACACACACACACACACACACACAATATATATATATATATATATATATATATATATATATATACACATATCCCCATGTAGCACAATAACTGCTGCCTTAGCAATACACATATACAGCATAAGCATTCACAGAAGGGAGAAACACTTGCTTATTCTTTTCCTGATATTAGTGGCTTGCACTTAACCTTGAACTCCACGGCTTAACAGCCATAAAGTAAAAAGGGATGCTTCCAACTGCAAAGGCTGAAAAAACTATGGCGCTGTGATAAATGTAATGGCTTGGAGCGCAACCCAGCCAAAAGTAAGCATTTGAAAGTTGTGGTCCTAATTATTCTTAATTTGTACAAATTCATTGGAATGAATGGGATACTGTAGGCTTTCAATCTTACTATTTCAGAAGGAGTCAGTGGGATTTCAACGTGCTTAATGTACTCTTGATCAAAACATTTTCTAAAACTGTTCATCTGTTCTAAAACTGTTCTCCCTTTTTTCCCGTATCGGTGCCATTCTCTTTGACATTCTGTTCGCATCATAGATAGTGGGACTTTGGTAATTGGCTCATGGCAGTACATATGAAGAGCCCCAAAGATAGGTCCCTTAAACTTGCTTCCCTCTGCTCCCCATCGCAGCTGCCTCCCAGAAGCAAGTTGGGTGAAATAACTTTTCATGGTTAAGATTGCCTTATGTCATTGTGGTTTTGGGGGGGATGAATAGAGAGACAGCTGGTTCCCATGCCTCTAACATTGACCTTCTATTGGCCCAGGAGGAGGTGCCTGTAAAACATTGCAGCTGATTTCCCTGCTTCTGGATTATGAGTGGGGAAGGAGGGAGCCATTAAAGCCTGGTCCATCCCAGTTCTCAAAGGGAACAGGACTAAGATCACCACATCCCATTTCTAGGTGGATTTTTAATGCAGAATACATAGAAATCAACCCAGATACACACATCTAAAGTACTTATGAGAGGATCTGAAGATTGTGCTCTGCCTCTGTTCCCCTCCAGGAAACTTATAGAATATTGCAGGCATGTCCAACCAGTCAACCACGATTTACTGGTCGATTGTGGGGCGTCCATGGTTGATCCTGATCGATTGAGCAAAAAACAAAAACAAAAAAACCCTCCCCCCAAAAAAAGCTCAACAACTTTGGTCAATCCAATGGGTAGATCACTGCCAATTTTTTTATAGTGGGAGTAGATCACAGTCTCTTGGGAGTTGGATGTGCCTGGAATATTGTATACAGATGTCCTAGCATCTGATGCTTGCTTTTGCATGCTTTCAAAGCTTAAATATTTATCATATTCAAAATGATAGCTGTCTTTTGATTTCCATGTTTGTTAACGAATTACAAATTCGTTTCCACGTTTGTTAACGAATTAGATAATTCTACATTAAAATGCAACCAAAATCGAAATTCTCCTTCTTCCCTAGCCATTACAGTGGTACCTTGGGTTACATACGCTTCAGGTTACAGACTCCGCTAACCCAGAAATAGTGCTTCAGGTTAAGAACTTTGCTTCAGGATGAGAACAGAAATCATGCTCCGGCAGCACGGCAGCAGCAGGAGGCCCCATTAGCTAAAGTGGTGCTTCAGGTTTAGAACAGTTTCAGGTTGAGTACGGACCTCCGGAACGAATTAAGTTCTTAACCAGAGGTACCACTGTACTGCTCTTCACATTGACGAACCCAATCTAAGCTTCAAAAAAAGTAAAGAAAAGAAAAGAAGCGCAAACTTTTCTGAACAGTTTGCTTTGGCAGAAAACATATGCATGCCATTATAGTGAACACAATTAATGTAACTGTTTTAATTTTCATTTTGCAGAACTCTTTCTATATGGTTCTGTGAACTGTGTAATTTACTCTCAAGTAGCAATCTTCTTTCTGCCTACAGGGGAGAGATGATAACACCCCCCCCCATATACACACACAAAGTTTTTGACAAAATTTATGAAGGGGGAAATCCCTTTCTTTTTTAACAAACTGTTTCAATATTTTGTTAAAAAAAGAAGAGAGTGATCTGATCCCTTTATAGCTTCAGCATGCTTGGAAAAGAGCACCTGCAAAGCACACTGGACTGTAGATTGCTCTTCAATATGGAAATAAATGACCAAATGCTCCTTTTCTCTTTGTAAAGAAATGCTGGATGAAATTGCTTTCAAGATGTGCAAGTCTGAACAGCAAGAGGAAACCCGAACAATATTCTCAGCCAGTGCAAATCTCAAAAGCTAAGGTTATCATTTCAAAGCCTCTTGTCTCCTGTCTAATAGGAAATATTGAAATGGAATGCAATGTAAGGCAGTTGATATCCCAGGATGCAGGAGAACTAAATTCAATTCCCTGGCATGGAAAACT